AACATTCTTTCTTTGTTTTAAATAAAATTTAAGTCGTAACTTCATTACCTACCTAATTGTTTAAGAAATTGCTTACAAGGTACTTAACTTGCTTCATAGATATCCGCAATTAAAACTGTCACGTTCCATCTATTGTTAACTGCATTCAATATTCGTGACGAGCGAATATAGATAATGTTACGATAATTTTGTTTGTTAGGATTTAAAAATACTCACAAAATATACAGAGCAGCCTCAGGCAACTAATTTTCAAAAATACTGTTCGGTTATCGTGGTCGTTAAAAAGCAATCAATGTGGAACAAAAACTCAATTTATTCCTGTAAAAGATATTCTCGGCGAATTCAGCTTTAATAAATTATAAGCAAATTCGGGAATAAATTACCAAGCATTGTAAAATATTCGAGTATTGTTAATAGGTCATGCTTAGTAAGCCGGGTACGATGAAAAAGGTTAGCAATTACGAAACATAGGATTTTCTCATTACGTGACTAGTATAATAAGTCCAATAAATTTTCATTTTATATCTTTTTTATTCTTATAACATTCGAGTGTGACGATGGCTATATTTAATGTTGGAAGACGGTAAATATTTTCAATAAACTTTTAATAGGATCACGCAATTTAGATAACAAAATATGGCTAACAAAAGGCCATAGACGGTGACGTAACTGCTCTAGAAAATGATAATAAAATCGGTGTCATTAACACTACAGTATGACCTTAACATGACGCGTGCCATCACAACAATGCAGCCAGTCTCGGCCGTGGCATGAAAAGGGATGACACATAAGAGAGATAGCGACAGAAAACCCGTTCAAAAAGTTAATTGCCAGCCATGACAGTGACGAACGATGGAAGCACCACCGTACTAACACCGTGGAATTGAATCAAACATTAAGTTTTATGATGTCGGCCTTCCAGTGATTTTCCCATAGGAAAAGTTTAACTTCAGAGTAATGAAATAAAAGCACTTAAAACTTTTATTTTAGTCCCCCTCTGGGCGAATGAGGTTGTGCCCGCGACATTTTGCGGCAACGTTTTAAATATATTTTAGCGCTAACGTTTTTAATTTTTTGCGGCTTCCAATTTTGTGCAAAATTTTTCTATAGATATCTTACTTAATTGTTTACTACCATATAATTAAAAAATTCTATATTTGGCAATAAGAATGCTCACTTGCGTCTTAGTTAACGACAATATCTTACCTATTTGTAAATTCAACAGACCTCAATTATTCTCTTACAACTAATTTATTCATCCTGTAGAACGCGGTATGAAAAACTAATGTTACTATGACGTAACAATACACTTTGACTTAAATGAACATGTCTAATTAGCATAAGCATAAATAAACCTCCTCTTAGTGGTTTTATATTAATAGGTAGGTACAATAGGGCTGAAGATACAGATCTAACATAGTTTTCCTCTCGTTATTCCTAATTAGACTTTATTACTATTGCCAATTAGGTTTAGTCTAGCATAGCCGCGTTCCTTATTTATCCAGTGTTTTTCGATTTTAAACTCAGCATTAGACTTATATTTAGATACTTACGTATATTTATAACAAAAGTTTAAAATGTCCCAGAAAGCCTTCTCGTTTAAAAAAATTCAAAGGTGTTTTGTTTTACATAGGCACTCTTCAAGCAATCTTAGAAGAGTGTAGCAAACCCAATAAAAAAGCGTTATCTGAAGAATGCAGTTCGCAATTTTGTATTTAATACCATCCTGGCATCCCATGGACGCCATGGTTTAAGGTTGATGAACTAGTCTGGAACCTGTTTCGCAATACGTCATGGGAGTTGTAAAATGCACTCAACCTTCACAGAACCGACAATATAGCCATATATGTTGAACTTTAAGTTTTGTACCGCTATAACATTTAAATGCAATGCAATTTTTCTTTTTAACATAACATCACGCCTTTTTATCCCCGAAGGGGTAGGCAGAGGTGCATATTTCGGCACTTAATGCCACTGTACAATAATGTAACACCCACAATTCACTATTTATGTTATGAATCCCATGTAAAAGGGGGGTGAGCCTATTGCCATATACCGAGCACAATTCCAGACTCCGTGCTACTACTGAGATTTTTTAAAACCCAGTAAATCTTTGTTCGACCCGGGAATCGAACCCGTCTCGGGTCTCGTCTCTCCCTTGCCCGGCAGTCACACTCGGCCAACGAGGCAATCTGTATTTTCTTTTTTTGTCAGTTAAACACCCTTCATTGAATCAATTAAGCTGTCGGTCCGATTGCCATACGATCGTATACCAATCGTCAGGTGGAATCTACCTCTATACTACCCACAAAAAAAAAAATAGATTATAATGCATTTTATTGTACAATATATACCTCATTTTACAAAAAACTTGTTTCATCTTCTCTCTTTCTCGTGTTCGTTTCAAGTCTAGCCAGTCTTATTTCAAATTGAGCAGTCGTCAGTCTTTGGAAAGTGTGGCGAGCATCTCTCTGTAAATGTAGACACAATATTTAAATCAATAATTAAAAAATGTTTCTAACCTAATTCAGATTTTTATTATAATTTTTTTTCATGTGACATACTAAACTAATTGTTAGGTTCCTCGTCAAACTGTTACGTGATTGTTATTGGGCATTTAATAAGAGTCCTGCAACAATTCCATTTCGATTTTCGAAATGCTCAACCAGCTCATATTATATTTGGATTTTGTAACATAGCCTACCAGGTGGTAGACTATCTCCCCATTACATCGTCATAGATGACTATAATTGGGTGTCACATTTCAAACCCTCTCGAGGAATAAAAAGTCGTGATTGATAGTATGTTATTTTATAAATAGGTTATTGACCTCGCGATACATCTTTATACAATTATAGATAGATACAACTACTGATATATTAGTATTGTAAACACAATAACTACTCACATTGATCATTGTTCTTCCTTGTATCTTGATAGTTTTAGAGCAATTAGTCACATGTCGTTAACCAGTCTATTTTGCGTTACTCACGACGACTCATTTTCGTCCCACGCCTGGTGAAGTTATTAGTAGGTTTCGGTTTGCCCAATTTTAATAGTATTAGCAAAAAGTGGATGTAAGTAAATACTTCGGAATTTGTTGTATAGATCTTTTTTAATTTTAAACCGTCGTGTGTCTAAACGTGGATCCACGCGAGACACAGTGTATTTTCTATTGTGTCTCAACGGTTTTTTTTTTTCATATTAAATTTGATGGATCAAAGTTTGGCCACTATCACGCCTGATGGTAAGCGATGATGCGGCCTAAGATGAAGCACGTCTACCCATACCATAAGCAACATATTTACTCGGGTCTAGAAGACACCCAGTTTCGCATAAGGTGTATTCTGGTTACTTCAACACAATAATTTGTGATCTGTTTTTCGTACATTATATTTTATTGCGCCATTTTATACATAAATATGTCTTCCTATAAATTTCTGTATTTATTTCGTGAGTAACCGTACCTGATTCTTTAAATTAGTTTTTTATGGTTTTATAGAGTATAGGTACCTTTAATCCATTGGAATCCCAACATGGCTTGGTTCAGCCTTCAGTATCTTCATTTAACATTAAAATAACTGCATTGTGATATATTACTCATAGTCATTTTGCTCTTCTTCACATATGAGGAAGGAAATAAATAAGGTTGTCACACCAATTCATTACTTGTTGGCTTTTTTTAGACTGAGCATAAAATGCATGTTTAGTCACGATCGTATGTACCAAACAAAAACAATATATAGGTTTCCTATAATGACTACGTGCTTGCTGCAGTAAAAATATCATCTTGTGCCGAGTAGCGGTTTTTAAAAAGTGCATATTTTTTGCTTTTGGATGTAACTTTTTACAGTCTTCATATTTTTACATATATAACATCACGCCTTTTATCCCTGAATAGGTAAGCAGAATTGCAGATTTCGGCACTTAATGCCACTGTACAATATAACACCCACAAGATAAGAGAAACCATTAGTTTTTGCATTCTCACTCCATTACAATAAGACGCATAATCGAAGCACTATAATGTACCTCACTCTTCGAGACACGATACATAAACGTTAGATTACACTAACACTTAATGCAGTCTATATATTACATGACACGAATCATAAACGAACCCTATACATGCATTAGAACATCACCTCACTGATAAGAAAGCATGAACGCATAAAAGTAACCCGTTATCTTTGTGGAACACCGTTACATTGACACAATGTTCAGTAACATAACAGTTTGAGTTATCTAAAGCAATATAAAGGTGAGTAACGTATTGAAAATTGATAACAAAGTACTATGTTCGTTCATTCATTCATAAGTCATAGCTATTCATAGTAAATGGCGATTTGATATGGTTTTGTTGATAGTTTCGCTTGATGTCATGAACCCAAAGTTCATGATGTGAGCAATAATCTATTAACCAATTAATTTCCAATTAACCAAAAATTTATAATCAATTTTCTCAATTTATCGATTACTATGAATTTTTCTTTTTGATTAAAACAGCAGAGGTATGTATTAACATAAGAAGTTGTCTAACCAGAAATAAACACAACTTTAAAGCAAATCGGTAATTTCGATAAACTTCATAACTTCCTCAATTGATACGACGAGCGACGTACCTGCATACATAGACTTATAATAAGTGAGTTATATAAATATGGATTCCTTAACTATATTTAACTGTCTTAATTTCAACACTACGAACTAATATAACATAAAATCTTGCTGATTAACCCATCGTGGGTCGAAACGTGGATAACACGCGATATACAATGTATTTTTGTATCTTATATACGGGCATTCAAGCGATTTATAAGTTTATAAACTACTCAATACAAAATCAAAGGAAATATTAGTACAAGAATAGATCGTCTGAAGAACCAATAATAGAGGACATTGCCTTCTTATAGCTCCAGTCATTAAATCATTTTCAATGACAAAACAGTTTTGTTAGTAGTTTTTCTGTGGTCAGTGGTTAAAAGATAATAAATACTATGTAGTTGTTATTCTTTTATTTATTACTTATACATACTAATGCTAAAATACAGACTAGGAAACACTTATTCGATTGCTCAGCTGCCAATAAAAATAAGACTACAACAAATTACTTTCTAAGTGACGTACATAAATGCTGGTCGACTGTTAGACACTAAACTGTTAACAAAACCTCGATAGATTGTTATTAATTTGGTCTGAAATATCAGAGAATTAAACCTACTTCTCTTCTACTAGATTCACTCTGGTTAACAAGAATAGGAGTAATTACTTGAAATATTACACAGAACATCAATAACAACAACATCTAATAATTCTAAGTTCATCCAGAATAGTGCGCAACAGTCATTAATATCGTTTAAAACAATATGTATTTACACAAGCAAAAGGAACGATAATTAAATATGGCATCGAAAACAAGTATTTTAGTACAAAAATACTAATATTGTGTTACATGTTAAAATTACTGTTTACAGGTGGTTTGGCTTGATCCTTATAACATAAATAATTAATTCTGCTGTAGAAAAAATTGCAATGAAAATAATTTCAAAATAGTATGTTTCATTTATATTTGTATTCCAATCTACTCAGTATTGATTCAGTTGGTTCCAAAACTAAATGGACTTACGTCCAGGCTTGTCCGAGGCTACTTCTGAATACATGACGCATTACAAAAGAACCTGTTACATTGAATTTCCTAAAATACATTAAACACAATAAGCGTACTGTGTAACTGTAACAGGTGCCTGAATTGTTGATAATGTGCCCAGTATTTACTATATCACAAGCTAGCTACTCTGATTGATCGACCAAAGTGAATATTGTAATGAAATATATTTGTGTTTTATATTCTCAAATTTGTCGTATAGTAAAATGATATCAAAGAGACATATTTTACAGGCTTCATACATCAGTAGGCTTTGGAAGTTAACATAAACAAATACAACAATATCTAACATAGAAACCACTGATGCGGTTGCGACAATACTGACAATGATTATTTTTTATATAATTTAGTTACAAAGACTCACTGCACGGGCGAGTATGCTGATTTAAAAGAATCCAGAGCAGCTGCTATAGATTCGTCGCTGCAAGCGTTTCCATTATCGTATGAGACACCACATCCAAATCCGTTGAAGCACACTTTTTGTTGTGGCTTATCGTCAGCACAGCATGAGAGGATAGCAGCGTTACACATACTCGGTGTTCTCAATGAGCCGGGCTGGTCATGGAATTGTGGTGCAGGAGTAGATGGCTGCTTGTTCTGTAAAAGATGATTCCAACATTATAGGCGACATTGATATGTTGTTATCTAAAGGAATTGTCGGCTTGTGCACATGAAATCAGAAAGTGGAACCAGCAACGCGTAAATAACTGGATAGCAGACATCGTTTACTGCTCCACTGCTGATAATAACATTGAATTTGATTGAAAAACTCTTTTACAAACTTAGACGATGAACATCAAAGATGTTTGAAATAATGTAAACAGGGATTACGTAACGTGGCCTGTGGTTTATGTACTAACTAAATTATTAAAAGTTGAAAATAACTCGCCACGCGTTTGTATGTTTAGCTTTATTGAAGGTCTGGACAAGGAAATCATACTCGATTTACTCGAATCGTCAAATTATCTTTGATGAGAATAGATAATAAGTGTAGGTACAATTACCTACCTATCTATTGTTTGTTGCGATGATTACTTACATCTGCTTGACTGCTGCCATGTTCCACCTTCGGCGAGGGTCGTTTCAATGGTCGAAGAGGTTTAAGCGGTTCGAATGAGATCGGTCTGCCAGCATCACTTAAGTCATCCGTGTCGTCATCTTTATTAGTGACAAATCCCCAATTTTGATTCGTGTCTTCCATTTCAGGGAATCTGGTGTGAATCGATGGTTTCTTGGTTGCATTGTCCGAACAACCGTATTGAGGTACTGGGTAGGGTACAGGGTAGGGAATGTAGATAGGCTGCGGCGCTACTGGAGCTGCTGGCCTTTTCACGTAAGTGGCGATTTCTTCGAGTAATTTCACTATCTGCGGTAAAAGATCTTGCTGCTGATTGCGACTATCGTATTCCCTTCGTTCTGGGTAGTAAGAATGTGTTGGTGGTAGAGAATAGTCGTATCCATAGTTCATTTGCCACCTCCTTCGGCGATGGCGCGACTCTGAACCATGCTTCCTGATTCCCTCGTTTTGGTCTGGTGATAATGATGCAGAATCACTAATGTGATCTTCTAAGTGTCTCGCGTAGACGCCGACCATACAAATTGATAACCCGAACAGTAGTACAAACGTATTCATCTGGAAAATAACAAATTTAAAATATTAGTAAGCTCAGTCGCCTTCGGATACAACACGGAAATATGGACTTAATTATCAGTAGAGTTTTTTGAAGGTATGCTAGTAATAAAACTGGTCGACTAGAAGCTTGTCATGTGCAACGAAATAAATTTGGACATAGTCTGTTAGCAACAGAATAGGTTTTCAAAACAAGAGTTGTTGTTTATTTATTGTTTTGTTAATCCGTTCACATGTTGTGTCCACATGGACCTAGATGACGAGACCCTGTACCGCATATGTTTATTACGTATTTGGCTTTGTCATTGGTGACCTCAAAGCTGAATTGAATCTTAATTTTATCCTCGAAATAGCACAGTTGACATTTTGTTTGAATCGTCAGCCGCTGCCGTCGAATGAATTCTTTATTAAAAGCCGGTTTGAAGACCGGCTCGATGTTATTTTACGAAAATTATGGTTAAATCATCACCTTAAATTATATTCTCCTCTTATAATTATGTATAAATCTTTCAATCAATATTTTGATAAATAAATGATTTGATGAGAAATTCCATTACCGATTATTAATTAATATATTAACTAATTCGTGTTTTGCCATTAAGTAAACATTAAGATATGACAACAATACGACATTTATTTCATTAGCCAGCAATGAAGCGTAAAATCAGATAATTAATTAAAAAAATACCTCATCTACGATGACAAGGTGTTGATAAAAAAGAAAACTGTATTGACTGGCAACAAATAAACAGTTACAGACTACTGGAAATGTAACAGTAACTGAAGTCCATAAACCAAGACGGCCAATAGGTATGTATGCCGTACTGTTATTCGATCATAAAAATATAGTTTCTCCTAATCAAACATATAGTGATGACACTCATTGCAATAAACATGCGCAAATCACAGCTACAAATCCTACCTACTTCTAATTAACATTAAACTCCTAGTACAGAAACCCACATAGTTCAATACACACCTTGACGCTCTATTTTAATAGTAGACAGAAATAAAACTTGTTCGTTATTACGTCACAACACAGCACTATTTTATGTCATTCGAAAATGAATATCGTATCACTTTTTATTAATGATTTATTTTGACACGCGTGCGGCCTGCGCGAGTTTGTGTTAAAGACTGGCGCTAGATGGGCGACCGTGGCAGTGACTGCGCATGAGTTCGTATTGGGGCATTATATATTATTGAGTATTGTTGGTACTCAACATGCAATTTCCCATTGATAAGGGCTTGAGTAAAGAAGGGTGCGCGATATCTACAGTGCTGTTACGGACAACCGTAATGTACGTTACACAGATAGGTAGTATTAGGTAGTGTACATAATGTGGGTATATGAATATTTATATGCAGTATTATCTTTTTTCAACTACTTTCATTGCTTTTTTACTTTGAGTATTAGCTATTAAAATTAGGTATGATCTAAGTATGAGGTTTTCCAAAATTTGTAGGCTTATTAATAAAATTCGAGGTATTGATGAATAAAAATTTAATAAATTATTTTATTTCGTTGAATATCAATATTAAAGTTCCTACATAAACCAGAATCAGTAGTTCGATCTCGTATTGTGACAGATTAATAGGTTGTTTTATTTATTATTTATAGAATAATGAAATTTATCCTTGTATATACGCCTACCAACAAATTCGAAAAATTACTTAAGAAGCCGACGTACCTAACATGTTAATTACCGATTATAGGTACCTATAAAGTACGGTAAGGTAATAAGGTCTCTTTTTAAATTACTACGATCAGATTATAGTATACGTATAAACCGTAAAATTTGATTTAGTTAGAATCATTTTGATAGAAATATAAAAATTCTTTTGAATACGGTTAGAACAAATAAAATCAGTATAAAAAATGGAGAATTTTTTACCGTTGTAAATTGTCGTTTAGTTCGATTTTTACTTGGAAGAAATATTCCCACATTATTTTTTGTGTCATCTAAAAGTTATTATTCTAATTCCAGGTGTTTTAGTACACATGTAAAATTCGTATTAACAAACACTAGAACTATGTTAAACATTTTTTTTCTAACATCTGGGGTTTTCCTAATGTTACACCCACTGTTTAAATGATTCATTTGCGTTCATTACCGTACTTATGTCAGCACTGGTATTAACCAGTATTCATTAGTAAGTAGGTATTGAAAGAGCAGAACCACTTTTTTATTAAACAAATCAATAATTTTGTAAAAAAAAAAATATTGGTGTTAGAAATACCTAATACATATCTTTTTTCTTTTAGGTTACCTTGTATTTAATCAATTGTTTATGATAACATCATCCTTTTATCCCCGAGGAGGTACGCAAAATTGCACATTACGAAACTTAATGCCACCATGCAATATAACTAATGTAACTAGTGCACTTAATGTTTGTAAAAGTTGACTAAATAAATTTGTTAAAAAAAAAACACCCTATGTTAAAAGTCCCATGTAATAACGGATGAACCTACTGCCATATACCGCGCATGGACTCCGTGCTACTACCTACTGATTTTTTTTTTAAACTGAGGATTGTTTATTTTATTAAATTTTAATCTTAATTAACATTATGAAATAGTTTGTCATCCCTTGATAGTGATCAATCAACAAGAGTAAATAATACAAAAAAATAGGTGATGTAAATTCATTTCAATTTAAGGATTTTAACTAAAGATTTGTTTTGTTAATCTTGGCAAAAGATCTTAAAATCTATTAACCTTTTATGTTGAACGAAATCTATCTTCTTTTATATACGTCGTCATTTTTTAAGGGCGGCAAATCATCCAATCTTGTCGCCATAAGATTGTAATTTATACAGGCAACAGCTGATAGTAATCGTAGTTGAGGTACCAGTCCTCTTCAGTCGCTTTGATATTCATCATTTCTAACAGAGGAAACAACGCAACCGTTGTTTCGTCGTATGAGTGAGGTTAACGAAGGCCCAATTACCCTACTCCCTTCCCTTCCCAATTCCTGAATGCCCAACAATCCTCAAATTTCAAATCCCTAAATGGCCCGTAACTCACTTGTAATGTCGGGCGACACCGATTGCTTACCATCACGTGAACCGTCTTTTTTTTAAGGGGGGAAAATCATCGAATGACTGCTCCCGCCTGGGTGAGGCGGGAGGGAGTGTCAGACTCTTACTGACTAAAAACCACCCCGGTCCTTCTCCTGCACGTCGAGCCGGAGTCCCGGTTACCCGTTAGGTTCTCCGCGACACGTGAACCGTCTACTCGTTTACCGGCTTATCCTATTAAAAAACTTACACTTTATAATATTTTTTGTTTATTTTCTTCATATTTTTCCCCGAATTTATCTTACTACGACCAGCAACCGAAAAATGGGCAGGTTTTTATCATATTCATTTTTTAGTATTTAACTGCCATCTTGTAACCACATTATAATCGTGTGGATTATGGAAAATCTCATAAAGACTTCGATGGAACTGTGATGACGATATTCATTACTTGATAAGAAATACAATATTAAGAGAACATTAAACATTCTGTAAGTAGGTACCAACCCTGCTTACCTGTTCAACATAATATTAGCCTGAGCAATAATATAATTTAATTAAGTGCTAACTGTTAAAAGAGAAAGAATTTTTATTTTTATTTTAATTAATGAGAACCGGAATTAATCGTACGTTTTACGTAATCAATGCCTACTCAATCAGGACACACACAAACATACGTAATTAGCTAATTACTGGAACCTTGTATATTTATTGGCGTAGAATGTACCGTAAATAGCACTAAATTGTCTACTACATCACTAGTGATTTAAATTGTAGACATATTGTTTTAAATTACTACTTCTACAGTACCTATTTCCTTTATTTATCCACTTGTTTGCCAAAGCTAAATTATAATGTACACTAGATGGACAGATAGATTCTTAAATTTGCTTGAAATATGGTATTTTACAGATTTTATAACATAACAACATATTCCGCCTATATATCAAGGAGATTGGTTGAGTAGGTGTCGAACAAACAAACCTACTTACGTTTTTAATTACAATATTTGTTGGGATTGGGGTGTCGTACGCCATAAATAAATATTTCTATGAACTCACAACTATAGTACTCTACGCCCGTTCGTAGTAAAAATAGTAGCAAATGCCATACGTTTTGGCAACTGTCCATCGGCGTATAAATCTTGTGGTCGATTTCATATTGAACCGCTTTAATGATTAATTACTCGAGCTCTAAAACATCAATGGCATGGTCATTGAACTAATGTTTATTAGGAAATTTGTTTTGATGTTATTTTCATTGTGTTGTACATATTTTTATTGCTTATATGTAATTACAGGGATCAAACGTTTTCATACCTACTTATGTACTAAAATATGCATTTACCACGCATTAAACAAATTCATGGCCACATACAAAATTAGAAATTGTTTATTTTAAATTCTTGTTAAGAATTCGCCATTATTGCTTCTGTTTATAAGTTCGTTTTTAAGCGGTAAACAAAATGAGGCCAGCGGAGTTGTGCAGGAAAACTGTTTCATTGTGAAAACATACGAGGTAAATGCAGACTGTCAAGAACTGCAAGCAAAGTTGTCTTGTTATGCACAAGCAAGGATAAAATAAAGGGAAAAATATTAAGAAATTAAATATTTCTTTTTTTGTATATATCTAAGTCAAAATTTTAAGTCTAGAACTATTTGTTTGTTAAATACCTTCAAATACGGACTTTACCAGCTAGCTGTTAGCAGTAGTAGGTCGTAAAAGCTCAGGCTCGGAAGTGTCACATGAAAATACTGATTTAAGAAGGCCATTAACGTAAATCACTACTACATAGTATAAAACAAAGTCGCAAGTCGCTATCCGCCGTCTGTCTGTCCCTATGAATGCTTAGATTTTTATAAATATTTGATAATTCGTTCATTCATCATCTATCATCAACAGCCTATAAGTAGCCACTGGTGACCAAAGCCTTTTCACACGGAGAAGGTTTGAGTATTAATCACCTCGCATGCGGGTTGGCGATTTCAAAGTTATAATTAAAAATTATAAACCCGGGTCTCCTCAAGATGTTTTCCTGCACCGTTTGTAAAGTGGTGTCTAAATAATCTTCGAAAGTACCTACATACATATAACTCGGAAAAGTCACATTGGTGCTTGCCGTTGGTAGATTTCAAACCTGCACTCTCATGCATGAGAACTGGGCGTCATAACCCTCCGGGCAACCACGACAATTCATTCATTACTTTTCCGAAAAATTATCTGTTTTTCCATTTCGATATCATTCTTTTTCTTTCCAATATAAGAAAATTAGAACCATTCGTTAATCAAATATTTTTAAATTTTTGCACTTGTAGCGCTAAATGAAGGAATAAACCCATGATTCATTGCAAACATGCGTATAATCTCACGTATAATCTTGAATTAAGTGTAGTGGCACTCGATTCATGATAATATATGGATGTGACGCGTCCTTAGGCAAACAAGTTGGGCATGTTGGCATAATATTCCTGAATGCAATAAAAAACATACAGGTTGAAGTTTTATCAATTTTGAAACTGAAAACAAACATGCGGTCGGGAAAACAAACTGGGATCTTTATTACTAAATCTTTTCACATTTTTAATATGTAACCTTGAATTTATTTGATTACAAAAATTCTGTTTGGTTATTTTATCTTTAACAAAAATTACCATGATTTTACACATACGAATTCAGCTGTGTATACATCGAGGTAGAGAAGTGCTTATTCATGGACACCAATAAATAAAAGGCGGGGAACACATTTTGGTTTTCCCAATATGATCTATACTTCCTCAAAACCAGTCATTGTGAACTATCCTTCAACTTCCGATCCGACAAAATAAATAAACGACCAATGTTATGTCAGTCGCGAATTTATTCTAAGTAACATGACTCATTAAACCACGTGGTGAACTTGTTTTGTTAAACCGAAATGCCACAAGCGATTGGCATCTTCCTTGGAAGATGAAGCAGCGATACGTTAATACGTGTGTAGACGGCAACACTTTACCATGCATCGTGACGGTTTTACATAATTCATTACCGATTAGCTTGAATCCAGAATTGCCGTCAGCCGTCGCTTCGCTAAAATTGCGTTTCAATTATGACGTAATAACACGTACCTACTCGTGTAATGATGACGTAATTGTACTTTGAACTTATTTACAGA